AAGTCAGCTTAGGGATCGTTTGGTAGAATATATTTGTAAAAAAGGAAAATGGTCAAGAATATTCCTAATCTATTGGAAATGGTTCATAAATATTCTTCTTCCATCTTTTGGTCTAAAATTACCCTCCAACATTGTTTTTGGTTCAAAAATATCCCTCCTTTCACTTTTTGGTCTAAAAATAATATCAATCCAAATTTAATTTAATTTTTTTTTACTAATTAGGTAGTATCAAATATTAATTGAAATTAATACATAATGAGTATTTTTTATAAAATATAAAAATTTAGGATAATTTTTTAATGTTTTTTTTTTTGAATGTTTTAAAATTTCCAAATATTAGAACTTGGCCCAAATACTAATTTTTTCTGGGAACTTGAAAATATATTTGTCAAGTTATATGACCAAACACCACTTCCCAATTTTTTTCCAAATTTTTAGAAAGTATTCTTGGTGCCAAACGGAACAATCCCGTAATAGTTGACGTGTGATCTCTGTTAATGACTGTCCTAGTTAACACCTAAGGCCTGAAAGGGATTGAGAGGAAAAAGTCCTTCATTCTTTGTGTCAACCATTTGATCATAAATAAATAATACACCAACCAAAAGTTTAACTTCGACAGTGATGGACAATAGCTAAACTAAAGTTCTCAGTTCTTACCATAAACAAGACTTTTGACTTTCATACCCTAAGAACTTCAAATAATTTACATTATCATATTACCTAAACTATAAATTAGATATCTGAAAATAAGGTCGATCTTCTGGTAAATTAAATCTACTAAATTAGTCTAGTCATGTAAATGAGTTAAAAATTGCGTACTTTGGGATTCGCAGGTATCAAACTTTATGGTGCCATCATTGCAGAAGCACAACGACTCGTGTTTTGAATTGTCGTAACCGCAACGCCCTTCTGATGCCTCACACTTTCCGCACTCCTTTGCGATCTGCCAGTCTAGTACGAATCCCTCACCAATCGCCGCACCAACTCCTCTCATCAACCCACCCTCCATCACCGGCACCACCACTTTCTTCTCACAAATTCCATACCACTTCAAATCTTCCGGCTCATGATCCCCAACATAAAAATATGAATAGTTTCCTCTTGATGTTAAGCAATCTAACCGATCAGCAGAATCTGGAAGGGAAACGGTACAGTTGTAGTAGAAATTAAGGTACAAATCAAGCTTCGAATATTCCAATGGAAAGTCGTCATCCAGAGTAAGGTTATGATGTACTCTCGGGCATCCTCTGTGATCAACACCATCAATATCCACCAGGGTAAGGGAGAGGTTATTGTAATCAATCTTCGTAACATTGAAAGAGTCATCAGAAATGTACAGAATTGAATTCAATTGAGAGCAATTGATCCCAAATCCTGGATAACCACAGTATTGTGGAGAGGTGGAGTGGTAGTTGTCAAGTCTCCAAAAAGGATATGAAATATTGAGTCCATTATCGCAAAAAGATGAAGGGCAATAACCAAATGGCGTAGTATTATCAGCTCTACTGGAGTTGATTATGAACAGAAGAAGAAGAGAGATGAAGAAAAATTGAGTTGGACACATTGTTAGATGATGTTTGAAAAATTGCAAATTGATTGTGGTTTACATGTAGTTGTACTACCAAAATAATATAATTATATATTTTTTTTATATTTGACTTGGTCGTCATGGAGGAATTAAGAAAAAGCCTAAAATAGTTATTTATATTTGGGTTAAGAATGAAATCATTCTTAGATTTTTACATGGAGCAGTAATAGTCATGTATGTTGCATTCTTAGATTTAATATTTTATTTTGTCCACAATTTTATGTATGGAATATTCAATCATTTTTAAATATATTTAATAGAAATATAATTGTACGAGAGAGAACGTTAGAAGAAGAACACGTTGTTCTGTTTGGTAGATATATTATTGCAACTAAACTAAGAATACCTTGACATATGATGTTGCAAGAAAGAAAAGATTTATACTATTATACGTGAAAATGACGTGATGAACCTCTCGATGATAACTGCAATAACAATTCTTTTAAACAAAACAAGGTGTTTATCTTCTCACCTTCTCTCATATGCGGTTATTATCTTTACTAAATGTATAAAAATATGATTGAACATTCTATACATAAATTGTGGAGAAATTCATGTTGAAAATAGGCAAAAGTTTGGGAGAGGATTAAAAGTACACCACTATTGCAAACGTGAGGGACTATTACTACTCCATGTACAAAACTCAAAAACGATTTTGCGTCTTAACCCAAAAATAAGGGACTATTTTTAAAAAAAATCTCCAGAGGAATTTGTAGGAAACTTCGAATTTGGTTGTTAAATTTCTCTTCCATACCTTATAGTCAAGACAGTCACATATTGGAATTAGATAATTTGGTGCGATTGTGATTTATGTGTTGGAATATAGAGACGTAAAATGGAGAAGAAAGTGACAGGCACTTGATAGGCATGTGGAAAATATTTATATACTATCAAACTGGAGAAGACTAGTATTTTGTAATTAATTGTATTTGAACATGACTTTTTTTTTTTTTTAAAAAAAAGAAACTTAAAAAGTTTTGTGAGTGTAAATCACTAATATTTCCCATGTGCTATATTAATAACTGAACTTCAATATTTACAAATAATTAACAATTTTGAAATTCAATATATGAAATACTAAAGTAATTTTTAATGTCCAAATTACATTTGAATCAAGTTAATTAAACAAGAAAAAAATGGAAGTCAACATCTAGCAGGGAAAGAGTTGAAACTTGAATTCCAAGAGAAGAAAAATCAAAAGCAAGAAATTGCAAGGGGGTTTCCTTTGTTATGAGAAAATACTTTAAAACATTGTACTATCGAAAGAAGACTAGGAATTTCTGAATGGTCACTAAAATATTGAGAATATTCGATTATCGAATAATAAAGTAACTCAATTGTTTATTTTTTTTTAGAGATACTAAATATTTAATAAATTTCATTGTTTTCTAGTTAGCATGTCACTAAGTTTCATTTTAAAAATAAATAAGCCTTTTTTACTCATCAAATTCGTGTTTTATATTCAATCAAACATCCGGTTAAAGAGTGGGGCACATTCATATGAATCAAATCATATTTTCTGCGGAAAAAGTTCAAAAATGACCTATTAAAAAGAATTTAAAAATATCCTTCTCCCATCAATTGATTTAAAATGCCCTTAACGTTTAATACTCCTTCCTTCACAGAAATTTAACGTGGAATTTAACTAAACAATTTTCGCTAGTCCACATAATTTTTTTATCAAATAAAAAGACCCCACCCAACCCGAAACGTTTCACTGCCAATTTAAGCCCTTTATCTGTTCTTCTTCCTCTACTTTCTTTCTTCAAACACAACAACTGCAATCCAAAAACAACAGAATTTTTATGAACCCCACGTATTTGGATTGAAGAGTTGTTGTTATTGTTGTACTAGTTATGGAAAGGGTTGTGCAACCACATGATAGTTGTAGTGAATGACTATCCACTTCAGAGGCGGCTCAACATAATTCGAAGTCTTAAGTCGAAATTTTAATTAGAGGCCTAAAATGTAAATAATTTTTTTTTGTATTGATTTATTTTTCTAAATTTTTAGATGTAAATTATTACTTAATATCATTTTTATAAATGATTTTTTCAAATATTTTTCTTAAATTATTATTTTTAGGTAAGATTTTATCAATTTAACATTGGAAAACATCCTTTAATTATCGAGTCAATTATTATATGAAGTGTTAACATAATTCTATAAGTAATAAGGTGATAAACTTTAAATAAAGATAAGAGTTAGAATCATAGAATCTGATTCAAAAGGTTGATAACTTGGTATACCCTATTTTAATATGAAAATTTACGAAGAAATAAAAAATAATTTGTAATTCTCTTTGTTCAACACTTTTCGACTATTGACTCATATTTTTGACAGAGTATTACTTTAACTATCAAAGATTTGAAAAAAGGGAGTACAAAAAAAGTTAAAAAGGATAAATAATGTAAGTGTTAGCGAAGAATATATAAGAATGAATGCAAATAATATTTTCTTGACTTCTTCTATTACAATGGGGTTAAGAAGATTAAAATAATTAATATATATCGAGAGACATATCAAAGCATAAGCTTGCAAATTTTTGTAAGTTCAACCACGGTAAAATCTTCTTATTTCAAATTTTAGATATACGATTTGAAAGCAAGCAATTAAAATATTTGACTGATCATAAGTACTCCTTCTATCCCTACTTACCTGTTCAATTTTCTTTTTTTACTTGTCTAATTTTAACAAATCAAGAAAGGATAATTTTTTGTAGAATTTCTTGAAAATTTTAAATTTTAAATTCATTCAATTCATAATTAATAGGAATAAAATAATAAACTCACTATGTCAATCATTATTTTTTTAATAGAATGTGTCAATTTGAAAATGAACAAGTAATTAGGAACAGAGGTAGTATGAAGTTTGCAATAATTCTAAATTCAGAAGAGACTGCAGTAGTTTTAATCCTTTTCAGAAGTGATTCAGTCAGAGATCATAGTATCACAATAGTAGAAGCCAAGAGAATACGACTCCCATATTCTTAAAACTCATGTTCAAAATATCATTATTTCCTCCATTTAAAATTGAGAAAAAGTTGAAGAAAAGAGTTTGGTATAGACGATGGTCAAGCAAAAGATCAAATTCCAATGAAGATTGGGTTGGGTTGAGTGTTTTTATTTGATAAAAAAATATGTGGATCAATAAAAATTGACCACTTGTTTAGCTAAATTCCTCATCATATTTCTGTTATCGAAAGAGCATTTTTAATCTAAAGAAAACGTTTAAATTAATAAATGAAAGAAGAACATTTCGAAACCATTTCTAATAGGTAAGAACATTTTTGAGCCTTCTCTGTATTTTCTAGTAAGTCACTACATGTTTAACCAAAGTGTACATTTACTGAACCAAATCATGTTTTCTATAGAAAAGGACCAAACTGTATTCAAAATGGCTCATATTTGACTTCTGTTAATCTTTGGTCATGAATATTACTCTTATATATATATATATGTTATAACCCAATATTGTCCACAAACTTACTCTTCAAATTGTACAATTGTTGAGTCTGTAGACTCGAGCGTCGAACTCAAAGTAGAAAATAAGAGTGGCTTTGTTGGTCGCTCCAATGTCGATCCTTCTGATCGTGAAGGAGAACATATGAAAGGTTTTGGTGGCATTTGCATGGCCTCTAAGCTACCTTCTAACATTTCAATTACCTTACCAATGGCTGGCCTTTGCAGGGGATCTGTTTGGATGCACCACAAGCCAACTAATATCATTTTCTTTGCAATCTCCTCTTCTTCATTTGTCATCGTATCTCTTATAATTAGTTCTTCATCTAACAAAATTCGTTGATAAGCCCAACGCGGAAAGTATATTTCACTATTATGGCTTCTTTCAGCACTGTAGTTCTTTCTTCCGCCAACCATTTCAAGAACCATCATTCCGTAGCTGTAAACATCAGATTTGTGGGACACTCCTCCAAAGTTTCTACTGAACACCTCTGGAGCTATGTAACCAATGGTTCCTCGGGGTTCTAGTGTGGACATTATGCTCTCTTTTCGAGTAGATAGTTTTGCTAAACCGAAATCAGATATCTTAGGACAAAAGTCCTCATCCAGAAGAATGTTGTGAGGTTTTATGTCAAAATGCAAAATTCGGGAGTTGCATCCTCTATGCAAATATTCCAATCCTCGAGCTATCCCAAGTGCAATTTTGTATAACATTTCCCATCCCATGTTAGAATCTTGGTTGTATATGTGTTTATCAAGAGATCCATTTGGCATGAATTCATAAATAAGAGCTTTCTCCTTACGATTCAAACAGAATCCCAACAGAGTAACAATGTTGACATGAGAAGTTCGACTGATGCTTGCAACTTCGTTAATGAATTCTTCTCCATTCCCCTTTGTTTCTTTTAAGATCTTCACAGCAACAGGATGACCATTAAGGTTACCTTTGTAGACCCCTCCGTAACCTCCTTCTCCAAGTTTCTCCTTAAAGGAATTTGTCATTTTCTTGATGTCTGAATAGCTATACGCCGTTGATGCTAGGGATCCATACTGCCTCTGGAAGGCCTCTACATTATGATCTTCTCTTTTTGAAATTTTATTTTTTTTCCTTGATCGGAAGCAGCAAGTCAAAACGCAGGCTAAAACTATTGCAGTCCCTATTGCGGCTATGAATCCTATATAAGGAAACAAGAAGAAATGCTTATTGGAATTTTCTTAAGAAAAGGAAGATAATAAGATAAATTAAGGTGAACAAATTCAAACAATAATCACCTATTACAATCTTCATTCCGGGTCTGTTTCTTCCTGAAATTGAGACATAAAGGGGAGGTGATAATCTGATACCAAATAATAATAATAATGCATCTCAATAAAGTACAAGTAATCCATCACCTATGCCTGAAAATGGATATAGTTTCTAGATTTACCATGAAGACATATTCTTGGTTGGGGTTTGGTCTTTGCAAATGCACATAAATTCATTACTTTGAACACCACTTTGCCCTCCACTATTCTGATAATCTCTACAATTAGTCCCATCCCACTGCAGAAAGAATCCCGTTTGCAGAACTTGTGTGTCGTAATTCATTTTTAGCAATCTATCTAGAGAATGAGCCTCAACAAGGGCATAAACAGGATACTGACACGATTCGACTGAATAGTTATAGTGCTCTAGAAGCTCAGTATGAAAAACCGCAAAAGAATGGGTAGTGGCATTTCAGGCACAATTGACAGCCTCTGTCTCCCTTTCATAAGGTTAAGAGAGATGCAGTGTTATGCTCCAAGAAAAATGGAGTACCACTTATGCTAAAATTATGTCTTGGTACTGGACATGTGTTGTCTTCATCAAACACGTCTGCTTTGGCTAGCAGAATAGAGTTGTTTGTGTAAAATGCTTCCTTAATGATAAATTCCTCTTCAGAATTATGAAGAAATGGCTTATGTTTGTTGCAGGTGACATTATAAGCTGGTAAGCCACAGTAGGATGGTATGATATATTCACTAATCACTCCATTACGGCAATCATGTGTAATGCAGGGTGAAGAAAAGAACGTCAATGACAAGAACAGAAACAGATTTCTCAACCATGAATAGGCTTTGAAAGTTCATATATATGATGTCTAAAACAAGAAGAAAGGACAAAGGGAGTATGAGAAACCGGACAAAGATATTGGTATAAGGAAATTAAGGTTTGGAATCATACTTGAACACAATTCATCAAATATTTCGGCCAAACACGTATGCAGACCCTTAAATTTGACCCTATATTTCATTTTGGAACTTCAACTAAACCCTTCAACTCCAATTCTCATGTTCCATTTAGACACTTCTAAGTGACGTGGCAAAGGTGAGAGTAAACCCAAAAAAAAAGTATTTTTTCTTAAACAAATAAAAAATAAAAAGTAACTCGCAACTCTATTTTTTATGTACCACTTAAACACAAAATATTGATTTTATGATTTCTTTATTTTTATATATGTTCTTCAACTGCAGTTTGTATTTTAAAAATCGGTATTCGTCGGTTAATTATTGTAAAAAAAAAAAATTGACGGATGATCATAGATTTTTTTTTAAACAGCAAAGGGTCAAATATACCCCTGTAGTATAGGAAATAGTTTAAATATACCCCTAGTTATACTATTGGGCTAAATATACCCCTCCCATTATACTTTTGGGCTAAATATACCCTTCTGACTAACAGAGCACACGTGGACGGTTTAGATTAAATGAACTATTCAATTCAAAATAAATCAAATTTTGATATAACCCGCCCCGTTCCAATAATTTAATCCGACCTAATTATAACATTGACCCACCCAATGAAGGTATGAGAAATCAATTTCATGTTATAGAAAGGGAGAAAACTAAAGAGGAGATCTATTTAGTGAATCAATTGCAATTCAGGTTGTGTTGATAATTGACTCTTCCATGTTATCTCACAGGCTTTTTCCTCGTTTTTCTTTGTCAAGATATTAAGACTGCTCACTTGTTCATTGATCTCAAAATCTCCCTTAAATGAGGTGTTTATTAATTAGCAAATAATAGTTGACAACAACATCATGACTGAGCCAAGAATTTCTCAAGTGTTTACTGACTTGCTTACTGTTAACTGAGGCTAATATTAAACAAGATATTGTATGTTGAAGCAATGGATTCATTTGTCGATTTTCTGTTCAGTTTCCTAACTTTTCCTATTGCATCAATGATCAAAGCTCTAAAAGAGGTTTCTGGATAGGATGCATAGAAACTTGTAGAGAAGTGTAACGGATTTGGAGTTACAATGGCTTTCTTTTTCTTCTTACCAAAACAGATTACTCAACCCTGGTGTTGCACCAAGACATGAGTGCCAGAATGAGTTGCTTCCAATTTTTGTGGAACTTCCCGATCATAAACTTGGGTGGGTCAAATGTTATAATTAGGTCGGGTTAAACTATTGGGACGGGGTGGGTTATATTTGAATTTAATTTAATTTATTTTAAATTGAATAGTTCATTTAATCTTAGCCGTTCACATGTCCTCTGTTAGTCATAAAGGTATATTTAACTTGAAAGTATAACGAAAGGGGTATATTTAGTCCGAAAGTATAACTAGGGGTATATTTAAATTTCCTATACTGCAGGGATATATTTGGTCCTTTGCCCTTTTTTAAAATAACAATTTCTTTTCTAGAGTTTCTCTGTATTTTTGTGTGAAAAACAATCGACGAAAGTGCGTCGATTTTCTTTCTTAAAAAATCAATGACAACTCATACAGTTACATTATCATTGACTTGCCTCCTGTCCTCCAAACTAATAGAGAGTTTGACAAAGTTGCCAAAGGAAGACAAGTGGAGTTTGAAAATTGTAAAGAAATTATTGGTTAATGAGACGACTTCATACAGTCACATTATCATTGACTTGAAGTCTTGATTCCTGTCCTCCAATAGGATGAAAAGAATATCAAATTGTTTGTTTGGATGATGAGGAAGTGATTAATGAAAGAAATTTTTGGCATTCAGTTAATTGAATATGAATATACATATAGAGAGAGACAAGGAGAAGAATAAATACTCCCATAATTTGACACAATAATGAGAATGTATTTGTTACAGTTTTAATATATGAAAATTGTAATTCTAATTTTGTATCTAGCTAGTTTACTGTGATTTAGCTTTGACATGTCAGCTCTTGATAAGCAAAATATGGGCCTTTTAAACTCAAGTTTTTACCCAAGATTATGCTTACTGTATAATTATTATATCAATTTTGCTGTTAATTGATGGATTGAATGCTCGTTCCATGTTTGGCTGTCAATTGACGACAATACATAAGTGCTTAGTTTGAGAGTATTTCCTGCTTTAATTTTTGTGGCTAGCCTATCTATCTGAAAATAACGTAGATATTCTGATAAATTAAATCTACTAAATTAGTCTAGTGATGAATTATATTTTGTTTTAAAAATTGTTAAAATTGCGTACCTTGGGATTCGCAGGTATCAAACTTTATGGTGCCATCATTGCAGAAGCACAACGACTCGTGTTTTGAATTGTCGTAACCGCAACGCCCTTCTGATGCCTCACACTTTCCGCACTCCTTTGCGATCTGCCAGTCTAGTACGAATCCCTCACCAATCGCCGCACCAACTCCTCTCATCAACCCATCCTCCATCACCGGCACCACCACTTTCTTCTCACAAATTCCATACCACTTCAAATCTTCCGGCTCATGATCCCCAACATAAAAATATGAATAGTTTCCTCTTGATGTTAAGCAATCTAACCGATCAGCAGAATCTGGAAGGGAAACGGTACAGTTGTAGTAGAAATTAAGGTATAAATCAAGCTTCGAATATTCCAATGGAAAGTCGTCATCCAGAGTAAGGTTATGATGTACTCTCGGGCATCCTCTGTGATCAACACCATCAATATCCACCAGGGTAAGGGAGAGGTTATTGTAATCAATCTTCGTAACATTGAAAGAGTCATCAGAAATGTACAGAATTGAATTCAATTGAGAGCAATTGATCCCAAATCCTGGATAACCACAGTATTGTGGAGAGGTGGAGTGGTAGTTGTCAAGTCTCCAAAAAGGATATGAAATATTGAGTCCATTATCGCAAAAAGATGAAGGGCAATAACCAAATGGCGTAGTATTATCAGCTCTACTGGAGTTGATGACGAACAAAAGAAGAAGAAGTAGAGAGATGAAGAATACTTGACTTGGACACATTGTTAGGAGTTGATGTTTGAAGAATTGCAAACTAATTGTGGTTTACTTGTGTATTCAACCAAATACTGTATTATATTTCTTATATTTGACTTGGTCACGGAGGAATTTGGAAGATAGAGTAGAAGAAAGTGACAGGCACCCCGCCGGACTTTCAAAAATGAAAAGTATCTCATAAATTAGGACAGAGATAATAGAAATTAAGGTTCATATCAAGCTCCGAATATTGCAATGGCAAGTCGCCATCTAGAGTAAGATAAGGGAGTAGCCACTGTCATTAAACTCCCTTACAGAATTGAATTGATTTGAGAGCAATTGATCCCAAATCCTGGATAACCACAGTATTGTGGAGAGGTGGAGTGGTAGTTGTCAAGTCTCCAAAAAGGATATGAAATATTGAGTCCATTATCGCAAAAAGATGAAGGGCAATAACCAAATGGCGTAGTATTATCAGCTCTACTGGAGTTGATGACGAACAAAAGAAGAAGAAGTAGAGAGATGAAGAATACTTGACTTGGACACATTGTTAGGAGTTGATGTTTGAAGAATTGCAAACTAATTGTGGTTTACTTGTGTATTCAACCAAATACTGTATTATATTTCTTATATTTGACTTGGTCACGGAGGAATTTGGAAGATAGAGTAGAAGAAAGTGACAGGCACCCCGCCGGACTTTCAAAAATGAAAAGTATCTCATAAATTAGGACAGAGATAATAGAAATTAAGGTTCATATCAAGCTCCGAATATTGCAATGGCAAGTCGCCATCTAGAGTAAGATAAGGGAGTAGCCACTGTCATTAAACTCCCTTACAGAATTGAATTGATTTGAGAGCAATTGATCCCAAATCCTGGATAACCACAGTACTGCTGAAAGGTGGAGTTCTGTCAATATGAAATATCAAGTCCATTATTGCAGACACATGAAGGGAAATACGCAAATGACGTATTATTATGAAGAAGGAGAATAATTGACTGGGACACATTGTTAGATGATAATTGAACTGTTGTATTCCAGGTGTTTTGATGATCCTCACAAATGCATGGACCCGGTCCCTAACAGAGTACTTTCGTCCAGGTTCAAAATGTTGTACAACTGTAAAGCTGTCTCATCATGTGGTCGGTGGAAAGGTCAGCGTACTTCACCAATATGAATGGATGAGGTTGTTTGTTCAGTGATCAATAACCCTTGTTGGTGATTGATATATTCAACAATAACAAACAACTACTAGAATTCATTCAAAAAGAGACTGAGTGAGTCTTTTCAAGAACTCAAGCATCAAAAAACATATATGGCAAGGGACCCAGCTTATAGACTTAAGAAGAACAATCTTGAAGTGTTGTTGTTTTTGAATGTTTGTATTGTGCTGAAATTGTAGGATTCGTTTCATAGTCATAAAGAAACATTTCAAAACCTTTTGGTGTGTATTGATTATAAGAACACGGTCAGAGTTGATTGTGTGTCTTATGTATTGAAGTCTATATTAATTAGAAGTAGTTAATATAGTGCACAATGGAAGCATCGCTTTGGCTCAGTAAGTAATAAAGGTATTACTTAGTGTGAGATTAAGAGTTTAGTGTCTTTTTTTTTTTTTTGACTAAGAGTTTAGTCTCATTGTTGTATTTGGAGTTTGTATTCACTTTTGCTTGTGATTACTGAAAGCAGTTGAAAATCTTGTATGACAGGTCATGATTTTACTTCCTTGAGTAAGGAGGTTTCCACGTAAAACTCTTTGTTCCCAACTTGTTTTTTCTTACTTCTTTACTGCTTTCTATCTGTATGTTTGACCTGGTAAGCAGGTGTAATGCGGAAGCTAGCAAAACAAACCTTGTAAGACCAGGAGTAAGAAGATAAACGAGAAATATACCAAAACAAACAGATTTAACGTGATTCGGTCAATCGACCTACGTCCACAAAGGAGATGAGCAATCCACTATAAATATGAGAGTACAAAATATAGAGAGAAACAACCTCAAACTATTCACTCGGAATACAAGTAGGTTCACAAATTCTCCCCATAACCGCAACTCTCAAAACCCTAGAACTACATAGTGAATGCTAATTAAGTTAGAAGGAACAAACCTATATTTATAGAGTCCTAAAACCCTTCCTACAAGAAAAGGACTAGTCAAAATATTAAAACCTTATCCTAAAAGGAAAACTTATTTATGGTAAGAAATCAGGGCAAATAAACCCCAACAAATCTCCCTCTTGGCCTGAATTTCAGACAAAATAAATTTGTCCACCTTCTTCACATAATCTTTAGGATCTTGCATCTCTTCTCCATAATCTCCATTAAATCTACATCTCGACACAGAGAACCTCTCTGAAACAATTTCTCCAACAAAAATCTTCATTATTATCAAAAAGGTTGCGGTTTAGAACTACACCCGCCAAGATGAACACCAATCTCTACATCTCGACACAGAGAACCCTTTTTTCTTCTCTCTTATCTCTTGTTGAAAGCTCTCTCAAAAACTTCTCTTATGTCCGAATGTCTTTCAAAGACAATACTAAATGAGCAATCTAAATTATTCTCTCAAGACCATCCTCTATTTATAGAGTTGTGCTTTTCCTTACAAAGCCAAAACCAACTCCAAATAGGATTACTATTCCAATCCTTTTCCTAATAGAATTGGAAACCAAATAAAAAGAATAATTCCAATCCTTTTTCAAGTAGGATCAGGCCATGAGCCTTTGGCTGGAACATGGGCAATAGCCCAACACAAGGGACCCAACTTATAGACTGAAGAAGAGCAATCTTGAAGTGTTGTTGTTTTTGAATGTTTGTATTGTGCTGAAATTGTAGGATTCGTTTCATAGTCATAAAAGAAACGTTTCAAAACCTTTTGGTGTGTATTGATCATAAGAACACGGTCAGAGTTGATTGTGTGTCTTATGTATTGAAGTCTATATTAATTAGAAGTAGTTAATATAGTGCGCAATGGAAGCATTGCTTTGGCTTAGTAAGCAATAGAGGTATTACTTAGTGTGAGATTAAGAGTTTAGTCTTCTTCTTTTTTTGACTAAGAGTTTAGTCTCATTGTTGTGTTTGGAGTCTGTATTCACTTTTGCTTGTGATTACTGAAAGCAGTTGAAAATCTTGTATGACAGGTCGTGATTTTACTTCCTTGAGCAAGGAGGTTTCCACGTAAAAGTCTTTGTTCCTAACTTGACTGTTTTACTTCTTTACTGCTTTCTATCTATATGTTTGACCTGGTACTACAACACACTGGTGGATACATACATTCTAACAATTGGTATCACAATTTGGATTTTCTACTTGACTAACATCAAGAAAGGATCCTGTAGGGATGGTTGTTTTACTCAAAAAATAAAAGAAAAGAAATGAATAAGTTTTCAAAAAATCGATTAAACTTATGATTGAAGAGAAATCTAATTTCCAAAATGAACAGAGTCGCCACTAAATTTTTAAAAGAAATTAAGAAAACTTATAATTATTTCAAAAGATTTAAATAGATAAAATCAATTGAAAATAAAAAGGTTCGAGTTCAATGTACATTACAAGAAGGTGTTAGGCCCTCGAAATGTCCGCTAACTTGCGGTTGACTGACGATTTGACTAAATTTGACTAATTTTAGAAAAATTAAATTAAGTAATAAAATCCATATTTAATGGGAAGGGAAATAAACTAAAGAGAAAATTTTAAGGTAATTAATTCATATGTTGTAAGACAACTAAAATAAAATGAAATTAAGTAGTAAATAAGAATATGAATATTTTTGGGAATTAATTAAGTTAACACCAAATCACATAAAAAGGGTTAGAGAGTTAATACAAACAAATAAATAATGGCAATAACCAGAAAATGACCAAATTTGGGCCAAATCTATTGGACCCTTGGTCCACACTTGTCCTAAATTTTATAAGTGGGCCTGCTGAAAGTTCAAATGGATTTCAGCCCGTTTGTGTCTTTTTCAACCTGCTGCCTAATCACATAGGATTGCTGCACAAAAGAATTGGGCTTTAGGTTCATTTTCGCCCCAAAGACCTGTATATGACTGTTATACAACCCGTTTTTAGGACCTTTAAAACCTGCATTTCTAGTTTCAAACTTGTATTCCCGTATTTCAACATTTCCCCCCGTATACCAGTGTATACGACTGTATACAACGTGTATACAACCCATTTTCAAGCTTTCCGAAACCTGAAAATCCAATATCTAGCCCTTGTTTGTTGTTCTCAATCTGTACACCTGCTTCCTCAGTTCCATTTCCGAACTTTGACTCATTTAAAGTCGACCATACAAGAGGCAAAATTAGGCCTCCATGGCTCAACTCGATATGCAAGGAGGGAGGGAGTCCACGAGGAATTCGGATGCGATTCATAACAAAAGAAAAGAAAGAAATGAATTAGTAAATGAAACTTTTAAAGCAACTTATAAAGAAAACACACAAAAATATGACAGAATCATAAAAAAAGAAAGACAATCAGTGACTAATCCATAGCAACCAATTGATGAATACACACATTAAGAATCACATAAATCAATAGAGAAGAACAAACATTAAGAAAATAAGAAACCAACTCACTAGTCAAATAAAATTAAAGACAACACATGAATAATACTCAAAGATTAGCACCAAAACATAAACGACCAACATGACCCAAACCTTTAGTTCAATTAAATTGAAAACTAAATAATGACAGAGGCATCAAAGAGTATGTTGTAAGAAAGTTATTTGGATATAGCAGGGAAATCTGAATCATATTACCATGCCACTTAAAATAGTAAGAAACCAACTTAGACAACCATTGCATTAGCCCTTTTTGAAAGATGAAACAGGGCATTCATGAAGCTATTTTAGAGTCTCGAAATTTATCATCTCTTGGCAACTCGAAATTCAAATAATTCATGCTCGTTTGACATTAAAAAGCATGCTCGTTTGACATTAAAAAGCTCAGATAAACCTCAAAACAAGCAAACTCTTGAAAGGAATAACAACTTCATGATTCAACAGACTGGTATAGCAAAGTGTGATGTAATAAGAAACACATTTGACAATATTCAATTAAGCATACAAGAAGAAAAATAACAAGCAAGCTCGATCCAAGAAGCGGAGAAACCACAACACTAAGTGCAAAATCGCGAATACTCGAATTGACATTAAGATTGAATCAT